TAAAGGCTAACAAACTTCAATTTCCTAGATGCAAGTCAAAAGTGAACTTCTGTAAATTCTTGTTACTATTTCAAAAACCCACATTAAACACAGTTAAACACACTACACTACCTGAGATTTTACTGTAATTTTCTTGAAAATTTAAACCACTGCAATTATACGAAATGTTTCGTGTTTGCTACCTTTATCGAAGTTTCACTAACTACGATGCAGTTTCTGCACCCATTCCTCCTGCAATAGCTGATGTCAAGATGCCTCCTACTGTCAAACCTAGAATACTACAACCTGAGAAAACACCGAATCTGATGCCTCAAACTCTCTACACCTATTTCTTATTGAATTTTTCCTTTTCTGTGTTCAAAGTTGATACTAGTAAATACTGGTAACAGAAATGTCTTCTTGTTAAATATTCTGGTCTCCTTTATCACAAGCTCCCTAACAGACTCAAGGAGTTGAAAGCTTTTAAATGCAACCCTAAAGAAAAGCTATAGTAAGAGTATTTAAAGTGTTCTTTTTAAACCCTGAGGCAAGTTAAACATTGTTTTGGGAATCCACCATAAAACCCGAAAAAGCCCCTAATTTTACTAGTGTTCTCCCAGGTCATGAATCTGCACACAGCAACTTGACATCAACTGTCAGCTATTAGTTTCAGAGAAATGCTCTACCTATCCTGAGTGACAACCCCTAAGTATCATCATTTCTTCTATTACTGGGAGGTGGCTAAAACAGAAAAAAGAGGCCAAGGTAAATGGAAATAGGAGCTGGTCATTTCGAGACAGAAGGAAAATGAGGGGAAAAAAAAGAGTCAATGGGAATTTTGTAAGAAATACAAGACAAAGAGATGATGCAATATAAGATTAAAGTCATTAGACAGTAAATGGCTAATCCCTGAAGAATTTTCTTGACCATTACTGCTTTCCAGTAATTTCACTGGAACTTGCTGCTGACTGCAGCACTGAATACATGATCCCAGATGCAGACTTTTCGTTTTATGACCTCCACCTCACAGATACCTGTATATACCTCTCAGTAAACCAGGCATAAGCACATGACAGATTTGCCATGACTAACAACTACACTGCCCCAGGCCTCAGCATTCCCCAAAACCCATGGCAGTACCAAATGAAGAAACTGGGCAATGCACAGACTGTTGGCACGGCAGCTTCCCCAGCCTGGCTTTTCTGAAGTCCTTTGCACTTCCCAGATGGGGTCTTCCAAAAGCACTTAAGCACATGTTGTAGAGAAAAACTAGCCTGTAAAGGGGTTTACGAGTTTTAGACTTGCTCACCATAGTAAAACATGCTGTGGAGTTCAGAACATACTGTTTCTCCACTACAGGGCAAACAAATTTAGGCAGTTACTCGCAATGCTTGAGCCTACAGAAGCATATAAAGCTCCTAACAAGGTAAGCTCAGGACCTAAGCCTAACCTGCAGCTGCAGAGCCAACGTGTGTTGTCCGTTCAGTTAGGTACCTGCAAACACAAGACTCCTTCTGCCACAGCCCCTCACACCTTGTGCACCCATTTCTTGTATACACCAAGCAGTAAAATACAGAATAGCTTATCTGGGCTTGGTGTACCTTGTCTTGTCTTGTACTTGCTTTGATTTTCCTACAAAAGCTGAGACAGGCCACATGTGGAAGACTACTAGGTGTGAGCAAATGCCTGACAGGAAGATTCAATGAGCAATGAGACAAATCTTGTCCAACATGCCACGTGGATAAACTGCCAACTCCTCTTGCTAGTTTATAGAAAGAAATAAGATTTAGTATTTCCAGTAGATAATTTATGTTGACTTTAGGTAAGCATTAGCAATTAAAAGTCATTATTTCAACAGCCCCTTGAAAACACTCAGGGAATCAGTGCATATCAAATGGAACTGAGCAGTTATTAAGAAATGAAACTGAAGGTGTGGCAGCAATGACTTCTCTGACCTGTACAAGAAAATCTTGGATTGGAGGAGGCCACATCTGCACAGAACAAAGGAGAAAGCACTGCAGAGCGGCCTACCTACTCCAACATACATGCAGCTCTAACCCCAACCCAGCAGACCATCAAGGCTGTCCCATACAAAAATGCCTTCATTATCAAGCTGTCCCCCCTTTGTACTGAGGAGTTTAGCATTTTGTTTCCTTAAGCTACCACATAATACTCTGCCCAACAGAAAGCATCTGAGAAACAACTGGTGCATAGACACTATTGTAAATAGGAGACCTCTGGCAAACAATTCATTCATCCATCTGTATATGTTTCCTATCAATTTCTGAGTCAGGTCTACAACAAATGGCCCTTAAAACACAGGGAAAGTCAAAGTACCAGCTTGAAGGCAAAGATGAACACATATGATTTCTGCATTATTCTATGGTCTGCTGGTTTGGGGTTTTTTCACTTAAAAAGTGGAACATCAAAATTACAGTATCTGCTATTAGCTTGGGAAACATCAGTTTCAAGAATCCAAGTAAGAATCTAAGCTTATGAAGCTAGTTAGCTGCAGGAGACATTGGTAAGCCTGTTGCCATGCCTAGTGTTCAAATAGCCCAAGGTAACACTTCTAACTGCACCTGACATCACCCTTCTTCAAATAGTAAAACTTCAGAATGCTAAATTTAAATCTGATCTCCTACTTTATCTCAGGAATTTTAATTTTTTTAATATGAACAAAGTTATATCAGACAGACAAACTCTTTAGTGCTAATGTAATCTAATCTAGATGGTTAAAAGGGTAGAATTACCAAGGAACATCCATCCCTTCATCAAGCATAAACTCTTGAGTACCCTTTACTCTCTGTACTGCAACTACTGCCCACAAAATTCTGTTTCAGTAACACATTTCCCTGAACTTGTTAACAAGGTAGCTTATCCTCCTCAAATATTAAATGAGGAGATTCTCTACAGCTGGTATAAATCCATGAAAAGTGAAAAGAATGACGACTCACAACACTCCAGTCAATGTTGAAAATTTAATGTTCTTGCTACATACTGCCTTTCAGAACTGCTAAACAAGAGCGTC